CGAGAATAGCACCAGCAGTGACCACAGCTCTGACAGGACTGGAGCTAGGGCTCTGCTAGTGACAACAAAGGCAGGAAAGAGAATGAGGGATGTAAAGCTTGGAGAGCAGAAGGGACTAAATGCAAAGCCTAGCAGAGCTGACTGGGACTTGCCCCAAGGGGCACAACTGCTGGAGGGCTAATGTGGAATTAACTCTGCTGCAGGAACTATTCTGAAGCAGCTTCCTCAGAGTCCTATTCAGGAACGATTAGTGGGCTCACAAGATGTGCTAATTTTCATGATAGCAAAGAAACCCTGGGCTACTTCAGGCAGCTATGTAACATTACCTCATTCATCAACTTAATCTGAAATCCCTCATCCTCCACCACAGCTCCTAAAACCTGCTCCCAATTTTCTCTCCTCTGAGAGAAGCTCTCCTCTCCCTGCCAGACTGAGTAACAAGACCACATTTTCCCAAGATCAAACGAATATATCCTGACCACAAACAGACAGCTGTCCTCCAAGGCTTCTACCTTCCCCAGCAGGTTTACAGGCAGGAATCCTCCCCCCACCTCCTCTTCACCAAGCTGAAATCTCATTTGGAAGAATTCTGCAGTCCCCAGATCATAAGCAGCTCTTGACAGACTCACTGAGGTGTTACACTCCAAAACTCACCCTTTTCCTGCTCTGGGAACAGCCACATGGAGACTGTTCTGCTCACAAGGACCATCTTGAAATTCAGTATAGGCTAAACCCAGGTTCAGTAATGAAAGAAATGCCTGGACACTTAGCCTGTGCTCCACAGCTACTCCAGGGATCCAGGTTCCCCCTGGTGCTTCTATTGAAGTTTTAGCCTGGGGGTGGAGGAAAGCAAAACAGCCCCAGCATTTCTGTGACTGTAAACATTTCTGAGTAACAGCAACAGTGAGAAACAGAAACAAAGACAATTACCAAAGATAATTGGGCTAATTCTGCAACAACAGGAAGGGGTTTCAGATCATGAGGGAGCTCTTCCAACCACTTCACTGGGTGCCAAAGACTGGATCTCCAAAGAGAATCCCAAGCTTGTCACCCCAAGATGACAAGCAGACCACAGCTACACACTTTGCTCTCTAGCACATCCTTTTCATGGCAGGAGGCCAAATGCTCATTCCAAGACAGCTGTGGGCTGCACAGATACAGCTCCAGTTGATTACACAAATGATCACCACTCTATGCCCAAGCTCTTGGAGAGCCAGGCAGTGGTTCATCACAAACCTTGGATTTTTCTTTTTTTTTTTTTTCTTTCTCAGGTGAAGTTGCTTCTGGCTGAGGATACCAGAGAGGTTCTTATCTCATCCTCTGAAGAGCCCAGGCTTGGCCCACCATGTGTTTGCTTTGAACTGGTGCCTGGCCAGAATCAGACGCTCCATCACAGGCAGATCTCACATCTAGGTGGACATTAGTCCCTCACCCATTGTAAACAAGGCATCTGTGTTCTTAAGGAACTCCATATCTCCAGAAATGAGGCAGCACACCACATGAAACTGGTTGCAGCAGCCAGCAGCCTGTACAGTGCACACAGCAATGAATACCCACACAGGCTAATGATGCTGATTTACCCAGAAAAGTATTTGGTTCTTTCTGTTGGTGACCTCAGAGCCCTCATTAAGCAGGCTGTACACTGAGGCTAGATGTTGCTCTGGCACATACACACAAGATTTACAGGAGCAGGAGGAGTTACCATTAAGCTTGTTGTGCAGGAGCAGCTCCACAGTCCTGCCCTTGAGCAAGGGAGCAGTTCTGCACAGCCTGCCTGGAGCAGAAGGCTGGGGGAACCCATTTTAGATCCTGGGGTGGAGGTGAGAGAGAACAGGAAGATTTTCTAGGGCGATTCTCTCCAGACAACCCATTCGGAGTCGCCCATCTCATTACACCCGTGGGAGCAGATCTCAATCCATACAAAAGGAAATGTATCTGCTGTGAGGGCACGCAGCTCCAGGGCCCAGAGATGCTCCTCCACTCCTCTGCCCACTTCAGTCTTCAGATTTCTTACTGGTGATCTTGGAGAAAGACACTGCTACTGACATTCTAGTCTGGCTGGCTTTATTTTAAAGACATACAAAGTACATATAGAATTGTCATGGCAACTGCTAATTATGGTAATTGCTGCACATGCTGCTTCTAAACACAAGAGGGTACAAGCATCCCGTTATACCAAGGTCAACCGGCCACCCTTTTTTTTGGAACAGATAATTCCAAGACAGAAGGAGCCCTGTTTCATCCACACTACACAAAGGAGAACGTGGAACAGCCACTCTGTGTTTATCCTTGCTCACACCCAACTCTCTGCACCCAAAGGTGGCACTTGCAGCACACCACCAGCATCCCAGCTCCAGCCAGGATCCCACCAGGACCCAGCTTCCATGTTGTTCACTGCTACTGGTGTGGCTTCAGGCTGTTCCTTTCCTCATCTCTCTTGGGGAATCACCCAGCCCCACATCCTTCAGTCTGCACCTCCCTCCACAGAAGGTTCCTCCAATGGCCCCTTCTTTCCAGAGGGGTTAGCAGGGCTCACACACAGCCACACCACAGATACCAGCAGCAGTTCACTGCACCTGGGATTTCCCTTCTCCTGCCCTTGGGAACAGCTCTGTACCCTCATTCCCAAGGGAGGAACAGCAGTCTGATGTGATGGTGTTGCAGGAGGTTTCCAGGTAAAATGAGAAGCAGAAGGAAGAGCAGGAAGAAGAGGAGCTCCTTGAGTCACCACATGGGGTTTGGTCAGAGGGAATGCTAAAGAGATTGATATTCTTCAGGTCAGACACATGAGCACAGCAAGCTCCAGCTTGGGAAGCACCTGCTGGCAAAGGACCAGCAGGCCAGGCCACCCTCCCAGGAGGCTGAAGCATCACATGAGGAAAGAACTCCCCCATCAAGTTACCTGCAAGGTCTCAGCATCCGGTGCTGCTTGCTCGTCCAGGGTAACATCAAAAAACAGCTTACTGATGATGTGTCTTTTGCTGACCTAACACAGGAGACAGAAGAGTTTGATGTGCACAAATATGGAAACAACAGATATGGAAGACAGATGGAGGGGGAGAAGGTACTGTCTTGTGACAAGGCCATGAAAGGCAAATCAGATCACGTGTTTGACACCATTAATGCTGATGCTCTGCTTTGGCTCAACAGCACAGCAGCAGACCCCCCACTCAGTTTCTGGCAGTGTGACTCCAGCCAAGCTCCTGAGCTGCAGCAGAAAGACTCAGACATTTCTGAATCGAGCGCAGTCTGTTCTCTGGCAGCTCAGCCCAAAGCAGCTGATGCTGAGCTAACATGATGCCAAATCCTAAGACAGAAGTACGTGCTGCTTTCTGCAGGCAGAAGGTGCTGTAATTGAATTTGATAGCTCTCCACACCTCCCCCATGCAGTTACAGCTTTGTGTTTTAAGTATTATATACAGTCATGACACCAGCTAATTGCATGGTTACTGCCACATAAGATGTTATTTCGCGATAACTCCATGGTAACCCAGAGATGTAAGAGGCAGAGAAGAACAGAGGGAATCAACAAGTCAGGGAAGGAACAAGGGCCAAGACCTTGAGAGGAGGAAAGAAGCACGAACACAGAATAAGCCCAAGCAGCAGCTGGCTAAAAATTTTCATCTGAGAGCGAGGAAACATCTCCTGCAGCCACCACGTGCCAAGACCCGCTGGTGGCATGAAGGCTGGTGACACAAGGGACTTCAAAGACGTTCAGGTCTCAGTTAAGCCAATGGAAATGCAAGGCTCAGCCTCCTGTCTCAAAAGCAGAGCACATGCTTCCTTCTCTCCCCAGCCACTGCCTTTCTCAAGGGAGGGTCGAGTACTGCTCAGCCAGGAGGGGCTGTAAGGCCCACGTGCAGCAGAGCGGGCTGTTCACCTGACAGCAATGGGCTGGGCACACCACAAACACCACTCAGGTGCCCCATCAAGCCCTTGCAGCCCGTCCTATCATGGCAATACTTACCCAGCCTAAGGAAAAGCTCTGAAAACCCATAGACCCTTTTGAAAGGAGCTGCAGTGCAGACAGCAGCAGGGCACCCTCAGTCCACTGTAACCCAAAGGGCTGGGGAGGGGAGTTCCTCTCCTCTAGGAAGTCCCAAGTGACAGAAAGTCCCTTTGCTTTTTACCACAAGCCTTTTTGTGGCATCACCCCACGCCAGAGCTCCTTGGTGCCACAAGTGTGCACGGGGGATGGCTTTACCTGGTTCCTGCACTGCGGGCATGTCCGGCTCGGGGCAGTGTCAAACCACTGGAACAGGCTGAGAAAGACAAGGAAAACACAGTAAATCCTTACAGTCCTGGGGCACTGCTTCCAGGAGCCATGCCCCAGCTCCCCAGGAGACAGCAGGATGTGACTCCTCATCATAAAGCAGAACTGCACACCTTCAGTTCAGCGCTGCGGCCAGCAGGAGCTCCGTGCTCCACACGCATGCTCCACCCGCATCTCCAAGACAATTTCTGGCTGGATTTAGCATGTGAGCTTATCTTTAACAGGGCAGAGCTTTTGCAGAGCTCAGATCTCTCTGGGACACAGACACTGAGGAGCCACAGCTTTGCAGGAGCAAGTGGATGCACACAGGAGCTGCTCTATCACGCTGTGACAGCTCCAGCTCCAGGGCTGCCACTGAGCTCGGATCTCTGAGCCAGGGGTGCTGGGCCGGGCTCTGCTCTGCCGGGCTCCCCAGGACAGCTCCTAATGCATTCTGCAACCAAGCCATCACATCACATCACACTGGAAAGGTTTATTTTGGGAGCAGGTAATGATTTGGAGCTGGCAGGTTCCCTTTGGAAGCTCTCCCTGCTCGGCTGGAAGCTGGCAGAGAGCAGGCCCGAGCAGCACTGCTGAGTGAGAAGTGACAATCACACCCGTGCTCCTCTCCAAGCTCGTTAGCCAGGAAAGCAAATGCCCACCCTCTCCCCACACAAAGTTTATTTCCTGAGAAGAACCATTTCCTTTCAACAGAGTCCTAGAACAGCACGGAATTACCAGGGCACCTTCACCATAATCCAACATCACTCCCTCCAAACACCCTGTGACAGTGGCTCTTCCGGAGCAGAGAGCCTGCAGGCAGCACAGCGACAGAAGCACAGAATCAATTAGGTCGGAAAAGATCTGAGCTCATCGAGTCCAGCCTATGGCCGATCACCGCCGTGCCAAGTGACACATCCAGCCTTTCCTTAAGGACCTGCAGGGACGGCGACTCCACCACCGCCGAGGCCAGCCCGTTCACA